CATTGGTAACACATCACAAAGAACTTCATCTTTATATCTTCCCAAAGTAAAAGATATTAAAGCTTGGGAAACTACCTTCATTGTTCCACTATCATTGAGCCATTGGAGCTTCTAAGGTTTATGATGATCTTGGGTTGGAATTTGTAACCTTTTGATCAACATGGTACTTCCAACATTGGTGCAACTTCCACTATCAATGACAAGACTACAAGCAGTCCCCTTGACGAAACACCGCGTGTGGAACAGGTTGTCTCTTTGATCATCAACATCATTCTCCGTAACTTGAGTTTTAACAAGTCTTCTTGTTATAAGTGCCAAATGAATCCCATCTTCCAGTTTCTCCTCATTCTTCTGGACTTCTTCAACTAGATCATTGATCTCTCCTCCATTTTCCTTGTCTTGGTTCATGATTGTACAAACAGTAGTGAAATATGTTTAGGACCTCAGAGACTCAACTCACTGATTTTACACTCGGGGATACTCGTGTTTATACACACAAAGGTAGGCTGTTTGAGAAAGTGACTAAATTATGATCAAGGTAGGCTACTATATGGATGAAGCAATTCTAATAGTAGCAAGCTATTCAAGCCAATGAAGATAAGTCAATTATGAAATAACAACAAAATAAAACAAGAAGTGAACAAACAAATAAGAGACACAAAGATATTTTGGGATAGAATTGCAGAATTCGGAAAATTTAGAAGTTATCTTCAAGCGTAGATTATGAGAAAAAAAAATATATCAAACACAACGATTCTAGATTTAGATGGATTAAGAAAAAGATGTGAATCAAAGTTTATTTGATCTTCAAATAAACATGCAAATGATCTAAAAAAAATGATAAAAATCGTTTATAATCACAATCGTAAGAACAAATATGATAATCTTTTTTTTTTCCAAGATCTCAACGTGATCTTTAGGAAGAAAATGAGAACAAAGTGAAAAGTTATGAATAATGGCGGAAATGACAACAAGAAAATAAATGGACAGATTTAAAGAAACGATAAACAATAGCAGAAATGAAAGAAAAAATCAATTCTTGAGTCGGCCACAAAGATGTAAACCTAGCTCTGATACCAAACTGATAAGGCAACCCTAATCCTCAGCCCAACGATCCAAGTTTTTGTTGAAGCAAGAACCTTTGAATCAAAGTAATTAACACCTCCTTATACGAAATTTGGATCAACCAAGAGATAAGGTTAGAATTAGATTACCTCTTATGATCGAAGATCTAGAAGCAAGATTTTGAAACCTTGTTCTAAATTGAGTCACTCCACAATCAAACTTGATCAAGGCTTGATTGAATGGCTCGGGTGCAATTCTACCACAAGAATTGCTTGAAACTTAGAAATGGCAAATATGATGCTCGAATTTCTAAGGAAAACGTCTCAATTTGAGATTTGAATTACACTCATCCACGACTCTTCATTTTACATAACATATTGTGGGTATTTATAGTCTCCCGACAAAAGACGTTTGTGGACGGGGTTTATTTCCGATCCCCTTTAATCTCCACAAAAGAATAAGTCAAATTGACCATTTGACTTTTACATAATTTATGAAATTAAAAATAGTTCTTTCTAACAAATATTGATGTGCTTGAGTGGCTAGGTAATACTCTAAGCATGCCCAATTGTGGCCCATACCTCCCACCACGAGGTGCTTTCTAAAGAGGCCTTGTATTCTCTTCTAGGTGGGATGCCCTGCCCCGTGTTTCCTTCGCAGGATGTCATGTTTGGCCTCATTTCCCTCACCTAGATGAGATGCTCTGCGCCATGATGATTTGCAAGATGCCATGTTCATGTATTCACCGATCACGTGACCTATATGGTCTATGCCAGATCACGTGACCTTTATGGTCTATGCCATGTTGATGCATGTATCAATCACGTGACCTTTATGGTCTATGCCATGTTCATGCATGCATCAAGCATGTGACCTTTATGGTCTATCATGGGGAGTAACCTATGGCCTTGATGGAGCAAGAAGAGAGTAAGTTACCCTGGCCTTGAATCATGAACCTCCAAAGACCTCCCACGGTACATCATGCTATGACTTAGACTACGCTGCTTGGAACGTATGAAGCCTTGAGCGTAAGTCTTAAGACTGTGTCGCTTGGAACACAAGAAGCCTCAGACACGGGTTGACAAGTTTATGTCTAGTACCGTAAGTCCTAAGGGGAGTGTCTTGGATAACGAATTAAGAAACATAACAAAAACTTACGACAAGAACAAAAATAAGAACAAGAAAACAAAAAGTGTGGTACCCTAGCATATCAAGGACACGATTAAGAGCCTACAAGTAGGCTGCTTACTGAGTCTTGGTACTCATTTCTTATTCTCCATTTTTTTTCAGAAAATAAGGAGCTGGTTGAGGTTAGGAGAGGACTCTGGAGTAGGTGCCATAGACAAACCTCACCCATCGTCCTCAACCCTTTTGTTTTAGTGTCTTGTGTCTTTTCTTATTTTGTATTTTAACATGGTGTTGTGTTTTAAAATACTTATGTATAAACTTTATTTTGATATAATGTTTGATATGCTTTAAGTTTGTGTTGTTTTATTTTATGAAAAATTTACCTGTCTTTTTAGAGTCATCGAGTCAGCCTGGTCTTTAAAATATGCAGAGGGATACTTCCCCAAAAACGATGAGTCTGGACGCGTACAGTATATTGATGAGGATGTTCATGGGAAGCATGACACCAAGGGGTTCCGCTGACCTCCGGATATCAATATAGATTAGCTTGACCAGAGAGGATCCAGGGGGTGTGCGAGCCCCCTGGAGATTTACACTAGCACTTGTGGGTCGTGTGCAGGAAAGTACTACACATTCATAGTAGTACGAGACTGGAGGCCATCCCTAGAGAATAGAGAAAGGTCCCAAGAACATGATTGCATGTCTTTGCATTAGCATGTCTTTGCATTAGCATGACTCCTATAGTGGGGTCACTTACTAAGTATTCTTTGAAATACTCTAGTTGTGTGCCATATCATTTTTCAGGTAAAGGCAACGCCCATGTACGGATGACGGCAGCATCGCGAGTAGAGACTGGCACGTGCATAGGGTAGACTCAGATTTAAATTCCTAGTCTTAGGTTAGGATAGGTTGTTTTGCATCTCATTGTTTTAATTATTTTGTATTGTTTTTATTTTCTTTAAATTTTTCAGTATTTTGTATTAAACACATAAGATCATGGCTGTGTTTTCAAGAGATAGAAGATGTTTTTAAATGTTTCCAACATTTATACTAGAGATAAGGTATACTTTTAAGAGTTATATTCCACATTTTAGCAGAGCATGAGACGTTCGTAAGGACTCTTAGTAAGTATATATTTACGGTTATTACAAATGTTAATGACGAAAGTCCAAAAACTGTTGCTAAAGAACTAGACGTAGAGCAATTGAAACCTGAGCAAGTGTTGAGAAGATCATCCTGAACTATCAGAAAATCCGATAGATATCTATCTTCATTACACTATGATATGAACTAAGAGACATCAATCATACAATATACTTCAATGAAAATGTGAAGAAAATGTTGTTGAAATTATCAAAAAATATTTTAATTTTGTCTCATTGATGAATAATGAAGCTTCATTGTTATACATTTTGGGTGAATCGTAATAGAGAGTAATTTAGAGTTATGGTGTTTTTTTTAATGTATTTTAAGGCTTATTTATACGGTCCCTAATTATGGCCGTAAAGTATACATAGTGGCTAATTATAGTCATAAAGTATGAATTAACACTTGAGATGCCTCAATTATGATCAAGGATTTTATTTTGACGCTATATAAAGTCATGTATGTTATCATTGTGAAGGAGACTTGGAAAATGTAGTAAAAGAGACCTTTGTGTTTTCCTTTAGCCAATGACTAAGTTTCTTTGCAATTCTATGTAGTTTAGGTTGCATGTAGAATCATTCAAGCTCGACTTGATGAATCTTGTTTGTGGATTGATTCGAATCTCAAACAAGTGTTCTTACATTGAGATATTTGATCAACAAGATAATTTGAGTTTTACTTTCCCTTGGAGTGATTCTTTATCATTAGGGCTAAGTTTAGATTGCATGTTTAGAATCATTCAAGCTAAACATGATCGATCTTGCTTATGGAGTAATTCGAATCTCAAACAAGTGTTCTTACCTTTAGATATTTGATCAACAAGATAATCTGAATTTTACTCTCCCTTGGAGTGATTCTTTATAATTAGGGCTAAGTTTAGATTGCATGTTTAGAATCATTCAAGCTAGACATAATCGATCTTATTTATGGAGTGATTTGAATCTCAAACAAGTGTTCTTGCCTTGAGATATTCGATCAACAAGGTAATCCGAATCTTACTCCTCTAGTAGTGATTTTGATATCATTTGGTATCATTGCTTTCTCTTGGATTGATTTCTTATCATTTTATATCAGACTTTTTCCTTGGGTTGATTCCTTATTATTTGGTAGGAGAGCTCTCTCTTTAGTTGATTCCTTATCACAGTATCTATTGCTAACTGACGAAGAAAAACCAAAGTTCTTTGATGAGGCCCTATAGGTAGAAGATTCAACCAAGTGGGAGAAAGTCATGGATAATGAGATTGGCTCACTTGCAAAGAATAATAAATGGGTGTTGATTGAGCTACCTATAGAAAAGAGAGCACTGAGAATCAAGGTTGAACCAGATGACAAAGTAATGTTAAAAGGCTTGGTTGGTAACTTTTTATATAAAATTTTCTCTTTCATTTTCTTGTTCTTTTCCCTTCTATCACATTCCTTTAAAAATAATTCTTCTTTGAGAAATAAAAAGTTCTACGTCTTTTAAAATGGGTTATTACACATATCTCTCCCTAAAACTCGATTCTCGACTAAATTTTAAAATGCAATTCAATTGATTGGTAGAGAATACTTGCGAAACAAGTTATAATTTATTTAAAATTCATTTGTTTGTGAGTAAGAAACGAGCTCTTCATATAATTATATTATTTTCAATTAAATATTGATGTAATCAAAACACCCAAGGTTCTATAGCTTAGTTGGTTAGAGCATTGGTCTTATGAGCCAAAAATCGTGGGTTCAAATCTCACCAGAACCAAACACATCCTTGTGGGGCTTGCACACTCCCTAGACCCTCTCAAACACATCCTTGTGGGGCTTGCACACTCCCTAGACCCTCTCTGGTCACTAATATGTAGCGACCTTAAAGGTAAGTGGAACCCATATGAAGTGTATCCCTATGCTTTTATAAACATTATGCAATAAATTCCATCTTATTTTCTCTTATGACACATCATATTAGAGTTGTGTCCTATTATGTCAGTCTATATGCAATATGGCACTCATCATCATACAACATGCTCAATATACTATATGCAATATGGCACTCATCATCATACAACATGCTCAATATAGAAATAACTCATACATCATCACAACTCATATACTTCCTATCGCACCGTTCATCACCTTTCATTAGTATTTCTCATTTTAATTAATAATTCAACTAACAATGTGAAATATGACTCGGGATAAAAATGCCGTTCATCACCTTTCATTAGTATTTCTCATTTTAATTAATAATTCAACTAACAATGTGAAATATGACTCGGGATAAAAATGGCAAGCCGAGGAGCTGCCAGAAAAGCTGTCGAAAGTCGCTCAAACAGCCACCGGAAAGCCACAAAGGTAACAACCACCAAAAAAGCGGTCGAAACCACTGTCGCACCGCAGGTTGACACGTGGCAGAAACAGTGCGCGCTATGTCGTGCAAGCGCTCCAGGTCGAGGTGCAGGTCGAAGGGCGGTTCGTGTTGGCTTGCAAATCGTCGGCTACAGGTGGGCCACTGGGCTTTGGTTTGCGGGTTGGGCTACAAGTGAGTTTGGGCCTTGGGCTACTTGAGTTTTTGGGTTCTTAGGCCTCAGGTCACGGATGATCTCTTCTTCCTTACCCAACTTTTTACTCGATTTTTTGGTGAAGCTTTCTCTCTCCTTTTCGTGACGTTTTCGACGTCGTTTTTCGTTCTTTTTCTTCATCTCCCTCTCTGTTTGCTTCTCCTCCTCTCTCCCACGAAGTTTCATGGTTGTTTGACGTCGGAGGAGGTGAATCGGGGATTCACAAAAAATTAATTTTTGGGTTTTCCTTCCTCTCATATTTTGCTTCGTTTCTTCATTGCAGGTGGTCTGAAGTTGGATGGCAAGAAGGAATAGGAGGGAGAAGTTTGGTAGCCAATGTTATATTTGATTAAGTGATTCGGCTGAGGAAATCTTGACGAAGAAAAATTGCAAAAGGAACTGTTGGGAAAAGAAAAACAGAAGAGCGTTGAGTAAAGTAATAGAAAGAGGAAAAATACGGTTATTTATTTTTTACTTATTTAAATAACTATTCTACCCTACTTCCTTGTAAACATGGCTGAAAATGGCTCAGCTTAACAATATGACAATCCATTCCAGGTGTATGTCAAATGGTCAAAAGAAATAAATTCAAATAACTCATGTGAGTAAAAAGATGAAAAAACTAAATAAGGAAAACCGCAGGCTTTTATCTAATAATCTCTCCCTAATACTGTGGTATATCTATCTTATTATTTGAATTCCGATCTTTGAATGAAGTTCCTCAAATTTTACTCGCGCCAGAGACTAGGTGAAAATGTCTCCAAGCTGTTCCTCTGTTCGGATGAGTCAATCTTGATAAGCCTCCGATCTACACACTCTCCGATGTAATGGAACCTGATCTCTATGTGCTTGCACTGGTGGTGCAAAACTGGATTTTTTATCAAGGAGATCGTAGTTTTGTTGTCCACGTAAAGCATTGGGGGGATCGCCTTCTTTTCTGATGAATTCTTCCATCAGCCACGCAAGCCAGACCCCTTGTGTTACTGCCGTCGAAGCGGCAATGTACTCTGCTTTGCAAGAGGACAAAGCAACTACCTTTTGCTTAGTTGATTGCTAGTAGATCATCAACGTCACCGACCCTATCACTATCACTGTAGCCGACCAACTCAAGCTTCTCTTTTCCTCTCCCTACAAAGTATCTCACACCCAAGCCTCTGGTTCCAGCCACATATCAGGATGCGCTTGACAGCCAAAAGATGTTCCTCCCTAGGTGCTTCCATAAACCTATTCATGTATCCAACGAAATAAGCAAGGTCAGGGTGTGTGTCTACCAAATAGCATACGCTCTCGACAGTACTGCAGTAATTGGTGGCGTTGACTGTCGTCGTAGTGCCGGCCTTCCTTGGCTAGAGTTGTGACTCCATTGGCGTCCTTGTAGGGTTACTATCCACTAGCCCAGCTGTGTCTAGCAGCTTTTTCGCCTATGCACTTTGACAGATGGTGATGCCTACAGTACTTTGTTGCACTTCGATGCCGAGGTAGTAGTTGAATACGCCGAGATCCCTCATCTTGAAGTTCTTTGACATCTCCCTCTTGAATCTTCCAAAGACTTCCATGTCACCTCCAGTGATTATGAGGTCGTCGACATACACTCCTACAATCTGTCGCTACTCGACGTGGCCGAAGCCCGTAGAGTGTCTTGTGTAGGCGCACTACCTTGCCGGAGTTGTCGTTGTCTAGGAAGTCAGGTGGTTGTCGGACGTAGACGACCTTCTTCAGCTCTTCGTTGAGGTAAGTGGACTTCACGTCCATGTGGTGGACCTCGCAGGAATGATGTGGCGCGATCGCTAGCAATAAGTTAAAAAATTCCAACCTTGCCACCGTCGTTAGGTGTCACTGCATGTCGAGCTTGTAGCAATACTTACTAAAGCTTGATGAGGTAAATTCTCCACCTTGGTCCGTGTGCAGCACTCGTATCTTCTTCTGGCATTCGGCCTCCGCGCGCGCTTGAGTGTGCTTAATTGCCTCTGTCGCCTCACTCTTCGCTTGTAGCAGGACCAGCCACATGAAGCGGCTTTTGTCATCGACTAGCAAGAGGAAGAAGGTCTTGCTGACTAGGGTCGCCGCCTTGATGGGTCCACAGATATCGCTGTGCACGAGCTTCAATGGCTCACCAACGTGGTAGGATGCCTTAGACGGAAAGGGGGTGCGCCTTTACTTGCCAATGAGACATCCATCGCACAGCCTGTTCACGCCTTCGATTGCCAGCAAACCGTGCATCATCTCCTCCTTGTGTAGTTTTTGTAGAGCAGGTAAGTTTAGGTGCCCATACCTTACGTGCCACCTCCAAGCTACTTCTTCGGTCCTTACTGAGAGGCTGACTAATTGCTCTATCTTCAACTTCAGGATGTAGAGGCAGTTTACCATGCACCGAACTTGCATGAGCAGTTGTCGTCGATCGTCGCAGATCTTGAGTAGCCTGCGCTCAATGGAAATGTGGCAGCCGGCCTTATCGAGTTGACCCAGGCTCACAAGGTTAGCCTTGAGCCTCGGGATGAAGTAGACGTCGGTCAGCTTGCGGTGCTCGCCTCCCTTGCCGACGAACAAAATGGTGTCGCGCTCTTCAATTTTGATGATGGAGCCGTCACTAAATTTCACCATCCCGCGGATCCTCGAGTCGAGCTTGAAGAATGAAGACCTGGCCCTGGTCATATAGTTTGTTGCTCCTGTGTCGAGGACCCATCACTGGTGCTCGTGCTGCTCGCCCCTCTCGCTGATCTGAGAGAACACTCGCTCCTCCTTTAGCTGAATTGGCTCCCAGCTGGTGCCTTTGTCACATTGAGCTGGAGCTCTTCCTCGGGTTCGATGCTCACCAGAGCAGTTATGCCATCGTCAATTACCTCCATGGATTTGGAATCAGAATTGGAGACGTCAGATAAGACCGATGCGCTCACCATGAAAAGAGTCGGTTCTTCCTCCTCAGATTGGGCCACATGGGTCTTCTTCTTGTTCCAGTAATTCTTGCTCAGGTGGCCTTTCGTCACGCAGTTCAAGCACTGGATCAGCCTGTCATCAGTTGACTTCTTCTTTTGATCCCTTTCTTTCCCGCGCATGCACTCCCGAGATTTTCATGGCTTCTTACCGCCTTTGTCGCTCGAGGACCCGTTGCTCTTGTCGGAGTTGTCACGGAGTTTCAGGCATGCAAGCCATTCCTTCTCAGTGAGGAGTAAACGACACTGCTTGTCGACAGCTAAAGAGGCATTCTTCTTCCTCTGCTCGACATTGCGCAATCTTTCGGTCACCTCTTCCACCGTTAGGTTATTCAAGTCAAGTAATGTCTTGATCAAAATCGCGATTTGCTCAAGGTGATCGGGGGCGACCTGCAGCATCTTCTTCACGATTTCTATCTTACTGATGCTCCCACCGAGAGTGGTGATGTTGTTGGCGAGCCCCATGATCCGCATTAAAAAATCATCGACAGATTCGTCATCTTTAAAGCGGATCTTCGAGAGCTCCTTCTGCAGCTGCTCAATGTTGGACTCCCGCACTTGCTACACACCAACCCGATGGGATTTGATCCCCTCCCAAGTCGATTGTGCTGTGCCCTTGGTGGAGAGAGACACCAGCATCTCTAGAGGTACAAACTGCAGTATAGCAGCAAACGCTAGCCGATCCTCCCGATACTTGATTGTTTCTCCTTCCTCCAGCTCGACGGTGTGCCACAACCCTTGCGCCTGTAGGTTAATGCACATCAACAAGGCCCACTCATTGTAGTTGGACCTCGTCAACATCGGGCACTACACAGAGGCAGTCGTCTCCTTAATCGCTCGCTTGACGACAACTCAAGTTCCGTCTTCGTGGCGCCGGCCTCTTAGTGGCGGTGATGGAGATGCCGACACTCAACGGTGATGTGGAGGAGTGAGTGAGCCTATCTGGGATGGACCCCACGATGTGTGTATTTTCGCGCTTTGCATTTTCATCTACTTGAGAACATGAGACCTGTGCGTTGTTAGGTTGATGTTCTAACTAATTGAGCTAATCAACTTGGCTTTTGATAGACTTGGCTTCTTCACAATGATATATCACCGGTAGATGAACCTAGCACTGATACCACTTGTTATCTTGACTGAGCGATTCGGCTAAAGAAATCTTGTTGGGAGAAGAAAAGTGTTCAATAAAGTAACAGAATAAAAATTCAGTTATTTATTTCTCATTGTTTAAATAACTATTTCACCTAAAAATGGTCCAAAGTGACCCACTAAAT